CACCCCCACCCCGGGCCTGTGGGCTCGGCCCTACCCCCTTCACCAAAAAATAACTTAATATCTCTGTGGAGGGACTAGAGAGAGAGGGCTCCAGTTCCGCTCTGGTCCATCCCTGGGTCCGCCCTGTTTGGATTGAGACAGTCAGCCACAATCTTCCCCGGCCATGTCTGTGTCCAGGGGGTGGTGAAGGTACCCAGTCCCCCTCCCTTTGGTACCCTTCCCCGCTTCCTCTTCCCCATCCCCCTGCCCCTGGCTCCTGGAAAGGGAACAGCCCAAAAGTACTAGAGTGGATCCTGAAGGGGATGGAACCTTCCTGAGCTGTCTTGGACAGGGGGTCAAGCGATGTAGCTTACCCAGCACAGGCAGCCCAAGGCTGAAGCTCCATCTGAGCTGGGCAGGAAGTTGGGGGAAGGTGGGGGTGTCAGCCTCAGCCACCAGCAGTGGACAGTGCCCAGACATCAAGCAGGAAGCCCAGGAAGGGGGTGTTTTGCAACCCCACAGCTCAGCTTGAGGAAGGCTCTTTCCCACTTCCCGCTGCTTGCTGCAATTGTAGCTTCTGCATTGGCCCCGACGCAGGGGAAGAGATTTTTGGTTCCCAGTCCGGGGTGACTAGGAGCCCCATACTTTGGCAAGGGTCAGTCTGGGGGAAAATCAAGTCCTTGGCCCTACCCCCTCTGAACTTCTGCTTGGAAGTCACAGGGCCCTGAGGACTCCACCTCTTTGACTCCAGGGTCTTGGTTGGAGTTCTTCAAAAGTTCCTTGAGCCCAGTATGGCTTCACTGTGTGTAACTTCCTTGTAGAGCTGGCCCCCTGGGGGAGTACAGAGATTATTCAGACACAACAGAGACCTCTGTATTGATAGTACTGAGGCACTAAGAAGCTCCTTGAGTCCTTCCAACAGCCCCATGATGTAGAACTGTTTTTGTCACCATCATGCAGATGAGGGGTCTCACCGCAGCAAAGTTAAGTAACTTGCCAAGAGCACACAGCTAGATAATGATGGAGCTGGAATTCGAACCCGTGTCTGTGAGTCCAAAAGCCATGTTCTTCCCTTCTGGGTTTCACGTCAGTAAATGCACTCGACACCCCCTCCCGTGCTCATGGCTGATTTCACACTTCATGTGTCCACCATCAGCCTCAGTTTCTCTTTCCCACAGGTCCCTCCTTCTCTTGGGCTTCCACATCTTCCAAAAAAAAGATGGAGCTGTTTTGGGAGAACCCAGACACCCCAAATGAGCGGGACATGGGAGGCTGCAATTTGGTGGGAAGAGGCTCATGGCTGGGGAGTGGTCTTGACGCTGCATTTACAGAGCAAGCTCACTTTTTACACAGGCTGTTTGGATGCTAATTTGACAAGGGGTACTCTGATGGAAATTGGGGGGAGCTGAGCCCCCCCCAAGCCACCTCTTGGTACCAGTGCTACTTGCTGGGGTGTTGAGAGGGGTGAGGGGGTAGGAAGGGGCCAGGAGGCTGGACCTCTAGGGAAGGAAGTGCCGCCTGCCGGGGGGCCCTGGCAAGGGTGGAAAGCTGCAGATTTTGTATTCAAGGAAACAAGGCTTCACTGTGCCAGCCCAGCCGAGTCCTGGCTGTACACAGCCAACAGACAGGCTCTCGTGGAGGACAAAACCCCCATTCTGCTTCCACTCTGAGTGGGGCTGCAGCCTCCTGGGGCCAAGCAGGGCCCGGGGATCACAGCCAGGGCTCTCCTGAGAGCAGAGGACAGGGAGGAGAAGAGCCTGCCCTCCTGGGAAGCCACCTGCCACAGCAGAGTGCAGGAGGGGAGATCAGACAGAAAACGGGGAGCTGGGCTTCCATCCTTGTCCGCTTGCCCTCCCTGGGCCTCAGTCTCCCCTTCTATAAAAGGAGCAAGCTGTTTCTGATGATTTGCAAAGGTCCTTTGGCTCTGACCTTCTTACATGTATTTCTGAGGGGTCCTGGGCCCTTTCGGATGTCAGAAGTGCCTCGCAGGGTCTTCTGGTATATCCATTCAGCGTTGGTTGAGCAGACTTCCTGGGGACGGAGATCGAGGGAGAAGAGGGGATCCACTGTCACTGATCTCACACTCACAGCCATGCAGTTTCCTCCTAGAAGAGGCCTCAGGGGTTGAGTCTCACCCCTCCCCCCATTTTACAGAAGAGGAAACTGAGACCCAGAAAGATGTAGTGACTTGCTCTCAGCATCGTGGGGAGGTTTTCAGTGTTGGAACCAGAGCATCGTTGTCTGTACGATGGGGATAGTGGTCCCCGCTTCTCGGGGTGGCACTCGGAGGAGTGATGCACATAGAGTGCTGGCCCAGTGCAGGGCACAGGGAGGCACCGCTTCACGTAGCCTGGACTGAGTCCCCTTCCCTGTGCGGCCCCAAGATGCGTTCAGCACCTCTCATCTCCCACTCCTCTTCCTCCCTCCCTCTGCCCGTCCATTCAGGGCTGTTTCTAGAACCCTCCAGGCAAGGTGGGGCATGGTATGGCCCTAGAGAGCCATAAGAGTGCCCACCCTGGGGCTAGCAACAGACTAGGTGGGGCTCGGGAGGGTTCAGTAAGCCGAGACCTGCCAGAAAGGTAGGCGGCCATGTGATTCTGAACCTGCTGTGGAATCTGAGGAAGATGCCCTAGTTCCATCTGCCTTGCCTAGCTCGTCCCCAGCCACTTCGTCTCATGACCCTTGCGTCAGAGAGGCAGGCTTCCCTTTCCTTCTAGCTGGCCCTTCCCTTCACAAGCTCCTAAGGCAGCCCTGCCCTCCCCTCCGCTCCCCTCCGCTCCCCTCCTCTCCCCTCCCCCTGCTCTGCCTCCCTCTGGGTCACTCTGCAACTCTTCCGAGTCCCTCCTGGAAGGCAATCTGGCAGAGCCATGGGCCCTGGAGCAAGTCATTTAAACCTTTCCAAGCCTCCAGTCCTCACCCTGGAACAGGAATGCTGGTAATGCCCACCTTACAGGGTTATTGTAAAGTGCCTAACCCAGTACTTGGCACAGAGTAAGTACTTACTAAGTACTGTTGCCATCAGCCCCAACTCAAGATACACCCTCTCCTGGCCCTCTCGTAGGACCCCTCACCCTGGTCATTAGGGCTGGTACCGAGATAGCTCCGCAATAGCCACTGGCTGCCTCCACTTACCCCCGACAGAGCTGCCTGGCCTGGCAGGCTGGCAACAGCCCTTTGCTTTGGTCTGGAGGGACAGGCGCCCAGCATG